CCCTCCCCCGTTCATGCTCTGTCTCTGTCCCAAAAATAAATAAACGTTGAAAAAAAAAAATTTTAAAACAAGAAGACCCTGCACGGTTTTGCGCCCGGAACCATGGAGTATGACTGAGTCAGCTGTCTGCACTGGGGTCCAAGGAAAAGGAAAGAACGGAGATGCGTGGGGAAAATGGCATGAGGAAAGCCAGCAAGCCTGCGGAGCACGACCAGGGCACAGAGGCAGTGCTCTGGCCCGGGTGTCTGTCACATCCTGCCTGCTGTAATTGCTGTCCTTGGGCTCTGGACAGACTCCACCTGGGCCGCCCTGGTCCTCAGGGGCACGTCCCGGTGTGTGACAGCTCCTCACGTAAACCAGCAGCCACACACTTGTTTTGTGGAGTCTCTGTTTGCCTCCTGCCCGGTAGTGAACAGTGCTCAGCCTCTCACATTCCAGATTCCCGGAGCCCAGCAAGGCTTCCAGAAGCATCGAGCCCAAGGTCAACTAGGCTGAGGCTCCTGTGCAGGCGATAAAGGCCGGTTTTACATCACAAACATTGCAACACAAATATTTTCAGGTTTTCCAGTGGGGCCACCAAGTGGATTCTTTCCCTCGAGGCAGCTCCAGTCCTCAGACTCAACTTTTCCCTGAAGCCTCTGAATCCTACTTTCTTCCTTATGCAGGGCAATTTAATTTTGGCCCAGGGCCTCCCTAGATGCATACCCACAGCCTAAATCACTGGACACTCACCGTGAGAGTAGCAGCACTAGACGTGAAAATACAGTGTAAGCAGCTCATTTGTGTTCTCAACTTCATACGCGGCCAAAACGCCTGGCCTGCCCAGAACACGAGTTGAGCGCAGGGGAAGTGAGACAAAGCCTCATCGTCCAACAGGAACGGGGACGATAATACATATTTGAGAGGTTAGTTGGACCTGAAAGCAAATGTCACTTTATTGAACGGTGGGGTCTGGTAAATCAGGAAACTCGGAGTTACAAGGAGGGACAGGCTTGTGTCGCGGTCACGGATTCCGTTGCCTTTCAAGTTTTCAGCCTCTGGCTGGTTCGTCGTACACTGTATTAGGACGTCCTCTGCGAGAAAGAAACGACCCGAATGTCAGAATGGAAGGGAGTCTGGGTCCACCCTGCGCCCCGCAAAGACGGGAGCATTTCTGCGCGCATGTCAACGGAACAAATTAATGCAGGCCCAACGACGTTGTTTTTCCCCACGACGGTTATTTTGAAGCTTTGGCAGTTTCTATTCTACTGGTGTTTGGTTTCGTTTTTCAAACTCGCGCTGGCTCCCCGAGCCGTGCGTGTGTCCGGTAGCAGCCCCTGGGCTCCCGAAAGCTCGGCCGCTCTCCGCCCCAGCGCCCCTCGGACTCCCCCCTCGGCCCTTCATTCTGTTAGGAGCCTGTTTCCCAAACAGCTCCGACCGACCGAAGGAGGTGGCGAAGGCGGGGTCGCGCTCCGCGGCGGGCGAGACGGGGCAGGGCACTTGCGCGCTGGGCGCAGCAGGTGCGAAGCCCTGGAGGCCTGGTGCCGGTGCGAGCGCGGCCGAGCTCAGGCGCCCCCCACCCCCCCATCCCCGCCTTGCTCCCCGCCCACGCGCCCGCCACGCCCACCGCCTACCCGCGGGCTCTGGGCTGCACTTGCACATGCCCGCGGGGGCGCCCGGAGGGGCCGCCGGGGCAGCGGAGCGCCAAGGGGACACCCTCGGAGCTCCAGGGGCAGTGAGGCAGGTCCTGCTGGTCCCGGGTGAACCTCGTCGGCTTCCTGTCCTCGGAGAGGGCCGTGCTCCAGCTGGCGGCCGGAGGGTCCCGGGTCCCGGCCCCTGGGGGAGGAGAGCAGGGCGTGGAGGGGAGCCCTGGGGCGCATGCGCCGCTCGGGGCGGGGCAAAAAGCGCTCCAGTAGGTGCCACCTGCCAGCGCCTTTCTGTCCTGAACCTCGGCTTCCCCTTCTGTTCTGTAAGGACCGAGGCGGGAGCAATGCTACCCAACACGCAAGTGCTGCTCAGCTGTGAGATTTTGTTTTTCAAAGTGCAGCCCCTGAACGGCCTCGCCAGGGAGCTTGTAAAAGTGCAGAATCCTGGGGGTGCCTGGGTGGCTCATTCGGTTAGGCGTCTGACTCTTGGTTTTAGCCCAGGTCATGATCTCCCTGGGATCAAGCCCCACATCAGGCTCTGCACTGACATCGTGGAGCCTGCTTGGGATCTCTCTCTCTCCCTCTCCCTCTCTCTTTTCTCCTCCCCCGCTTTCTCTCAAAATAAATAAATAAACTTTTTTTTTTTTTGATGCAGAATCTTGGGCCCCATCCCTACTGAACCAGAATCTGCATTTTAACAAGATCCCCCGGGTGGTTTTTCTTGCACATTAAGTGTGAGAAGCAGAATGTGGTGATATTTGTGGAAATAGTTTCTTCTTTAAGCACCAATCTCAAAGTAAATGCTAGGTTTTAAATTATACAGTATCTGTTCAAGTCAGCAGAGTCTGGCACAGTGCCGGGCATTACACACACATACACACACACACACACAACCAAAAACTTCATAAATATTTGGGGGGAAATAATGCCTACACAAGTAACAAACATTGAGCCCTCACTATGTGCCAGGTGCTACACTAACTGCCTCATTACCTGGTGGTAATGAGGCATCTACTGCCTCACTTACCTGGTGGCTATGTATGGGGCTAGAACCAGTGTGTTTTCCACTGTCTCTTTCCATTTCCAGTGAAGAGACTGGAACAAAGAGGCTTAACGGCTTGCCGGATGCCTCATACCCAGCGAGAGCTGGAGCAGAGAGCCCAGTAACCAGGCTCCAGACGTGGTGTATTTAACTGCTCTGTTTGCTGCCTCGGGTTGAGTGGGTGGATGAGAGAAAGGCTCCCGAAACCCCCAGCTGTTTACCTGAGTCTGTTTCCAGATGATGCACCAGGCTTTCTGAGCGAAGCAGAAATAGAAAGGTATGTGACTTGCCATCTCTTACAGGTACTCCCCAGGGCAGACCTGGGGACCCCGTGGGGAAGGAGGAGAAGGCATCTGCTCCAGGCCTCCTGCTGTGCTCTAATGGCACAGGAGCAGCCCCCACCTGCCAGTGCATGTCCCTGGGGAGAGAAGATCTCTGAGGAATGGTCCCTCTGAGCAGAGCAGGGTCACTAAGGGAAGGCTTGGGTGGAAGACAACTGGAGGCAGGCTTGGAAGGCAGGGGAAGGCGGAGAGGGATGGGGGGCAGAAAGGCAAGCGGTGGAGGGGGGAGGGAACAGCATGGGGAAATCTGTTACCCCTTCCCCTTTACCTGAGAAGGTCCTTAGCATCTCTGGGAGGGGCAGGATTTTCCTGTGAACATCTCGGATCTTCTCGACAAGGGCAGGAGAAATGGTCTCTGGACTCACAAAAGTCTTCTCACACCTACAACCAGTTCCTCCAGAATTAGAGGAAGGTCCTTTAGGAGAATGTTTGGGGCTTGTGGAGGCTGCAAGAGGTCGTTACCCTGTTTGCCTCTAGAGGACAGTACAGGGTCACTAGGAAAAGGAGAAGGCGCTTGAACTCCTCTGTGACTTGTGTGCTGCTCATTACTAGGGGAAAGGGGATGGGGGAGAACAGCGGGATGGAAGAAAATGTGTCCTTGCGGGTCACCCGCTGCATGACCTTGACAGCACCCCTACCCCCTCCCCCAACCCCTCAACCCCCCAAGCCCCTTCCCCCACTTCCTGGTCTCAGCTTCCTCTGCAAACCAGAAGGCCTGCAAAGCCCATCTAGATCGGAATCTCTAACACAACTTGAAAAGTATGTTTGGAGATGCTTCTTGGCTCATGGGCCCCCAGGGTAGACCCCCCTCCCCGGGGTTCGGGCCCCTGTGGATGCATGACCCACGGCTGTGACAGCTGCTCCCTAGCAGAGCACCGGGAAGGCGCAGGCACTTGGAGCAGAGGAAGGGAGAGGAGCTAATATTCACAGTTCCAGCGGCTGCCCCTTGAGAGTAGTGTTTGTAAATTCTGAAGGAAATGGGGCAGTTGAGGGGGGAAATGGTTGAAGGCAGGCTGCCTGGTCTTTCCACGTTCCGTGCTGACTGTACCTGATAGAAGATGTTCCCCTCAGAATTACGTTTTGGTGTTAACGCTGCCTCGAGCACTAATAATTTCGGGAATTAAATGGATGTTCCTGGATCAGCCTAAAAACCTGATTGTTGTTTGTTTCTTCACTTTTAAGGGGAAAATGTGTCCCTGATACCAAACAATCAGTTTTAAAAATGAACTCTTGGAACACAAACCTTTGAGTGGAGGCTGCCTGTGTGTGTGTCTGCCAAAGCAGTTTTGCGTTTCCGCGCAGCCCGCTGGAGGGCGAGGTCAGAGTGCCCCCCAATGTCCGTGCCCAGGGGACACAGGTGACGGATACAAAGTATACACCCCATGTGTGAAGGAAGCAGGACTGGGAGGAGGCCCTACCTGCTCTGGCTGACGCCCACATCCTACAAAAGAAAAAGAACATGCACTCAGTATCCTCAGGTCCTTCCCGCCAGAGAGCCTGCACATCCGTTCTTCGTAACGCATTGGCTCAAAGTTCTCCTCTTGAAGAAAGTTCTGTGTGTCTAATGACCTACCCATCAGACTATTCTTTTGCACCATGCCTCCCTACTAATGTGGGACTCTGGCCAGATCATTCAAGCTCACTTCTTTGTCTTAGCCTCATCTTGGGAGCGTGTTCTGCCTCCAGTGATTGAGACATGGTGGAGAACAGGGTCCAGGCCTTGAGTTACCAGCCGAACCTGATGTGACGCAGGATAACGTGAGGACCATCGAAACAGACGCCACTACGGAGTTCTCTCTGTGAACCAGGACCATGCGAGGCATTTGGTACGGATTGTTTATCATCTTTGCAGGAGCTCTAGGAAGGAGGTGCTACTGTTATCCCCATGTTTAGGCGGGCGCAAGGCTCGCTGAGGCCACACGGCTGGAAGAGCCTGCCCTCAAACCCAAGAACGGCTGATTCCAGAGTCTTTGACACGACCGCAGTGCAGGGTCAAGTCACCAGCCTTTCGGGGTCTGCCCCTCTGTAGCGTCTCTGGGCTGAAGAAACCCGACAGCTACCAGTCCCTCCTAGCAGAAGACCTCTGCTCCCCTCTCCTGCCCCTCTGCAGCATCTCCCAACCTCAGCTGCTGTCCCTGCCTGAGCAATCCCTCTCCCATCCCACGAGGCAGGTTGTGGACAGCCCCCCACATGTAGCAGGACACTTGCCAGCTGCTGGCAGTTCTCCAGCTCCTTGGCCTCAGCTCTGTGCCTGGCAACCTCCTCGGAGAACTTGGAGATGTAGTCTTCTCGCTCCTCGCAGACCTGCACCTCCAGCCCCCTCAGCCTGGCCAGCAGGAGGCCCCGCTGTTCCCTCAGCTCCTGCTGCAACTTCTCAAACACGGCTTCTACCTGCTGCTTCCTGATTTCGATGTGAGTCTGTGAGAGGCAAAAATACAGACGTGGCCAGGAGGAAGCTCAGAAGCTGGGTTCCAGGAGGGTCATCGGTATTCTTACTGTTAAGAGTGATAAGGACTAACTAAGTCTCTTGTATAATATGATGGGTCTCAGGGTAAACTTAACGTGATGAGGGCTATGTTCTTGTCCTACCTGGAGATTCTACCCGTCATACACATTATATCCTCCGAGCCACAATGAACTTTCACACTAACCTCGCCCCACCTCCCCTAGGGCCCAGGGGAGATGGCGGTAGTCATTAATCGGAGGGCCACGCAAGCAAAGGAAGTGAGGTTACAGGCAACGCAGAGTGTGTGGCATTGGTCTTAGCCTCCGACATTGCCTCCTGTAGGGCACACTCTGAGGGGGGCACAGGGATGCTGGAGATCCCTTCCTGTCCCAAAACTTGTCTCTTGGTCAGGGTACCAGAAATTCTCATACTGCAGCTTTCCTCTTGGATAAATAGCCATGTAGCTGGGAGCAGGGAGCCCCACCATTCACCTACCGTGCCCAGGGACACCCTCATGGTGTAGGGTCAGCCTCACGGCCAGACTAGAGGGCAGACCCTTGTATACACTTCCTGGCCCCAAGCTTCCCATCTGAAGGCGATGCTTTCGGGCACTGAGACTGGGATGGGAAGGGTTGCTGAGGGCCAAGGTTCTACAGCCATGTCAGCATGAACGTGGGCTTTGCTGTGTGGCCTTGGGAGCATCACTTTCCTGGACCTCAGCTTTCTGCTCTGTAAAGTGGCTGATAAGTGGATCTTGGGCTAGAAGTCATCAGAACCATTTCCAGCTGTGATGCTCTGGGATTCCAAAACCTTGACCCCAAATGCCCTTGTGCATACATAGGGAAGTGAATGAGAACAGTTTGCCTCTTCTCACCTGCCAGGCCCCCAGTCTGCTAAGAAAACCCCCAGAGGACAAGGTGCCCAGAAGCTCTTTACCAGAAGCATTTGGAACTTCTGGTCTTCCCGACTCTTTATGTCCTCAATCTCTTCTCCCTCCACCCTCAGGGCTTCCAACTGAGTCCTGACACCGTCCTGTAGGGAGAAGAATGGGCAGAAAGGGGTGGCTTAATTCACAGATACAAGTTGTCTGCTGGGTCCCAGGCACACGGCTGACCACTGAGGGATTCAGCGGTGGAAAGGGCTGACCTGAACAGACCAGCACCTGAGATGAGTCAGTCACGACGAAACTGGCAGCCGAGGTGGGAACACAAAGGGCACAGGGGGGATCTCAGAGACAGAAAGCACGTACAGTGGGTCTAGAGGGGTGGAGTGTACTGTGTGTCCCTGGACTGCACACGTAGAAATTGCTGAAATGGTTTAAAAAGGAGTGGGGGGAGAGAGAGCAGTGTCGGAGGAAGTAGCTACGTGAGAAGGAGCTGGAAGCAGGAAGGAGCAGGTGCCCAGCCGCCAGTCCAGCTGGATGCTCAGGTCCTGGGAGGGGCGGCTGGGAGATGAGGGGCACGAGGGAGCCATAGGAGGGTTTTGAGCAGGGAAGCAACGTGGTCTGCTGTGTGTTTGCGGAAGATGTACCTCGTGGAGGGTTGGAGGGTGATCGGAGACAGAGAGAGCAGAGGCAGGGAGCACGTCCGAGGCCGTCCAATGTCTGGGTGAAGCACTGAGAGCCTGGATTTGGTGGCGGTTGTGGGGACGAGGCCGAGTTAAAGACCCAAGAGGTGCCTCTGAGAAATCGCTTGCAGACCTGGTGACTGGATGATGAGAGAGATCTGGGGGCAGACAGAGGGGGCAGCGTCCCTGAGACTGGATGGGCCAGGTCATGCCCACTCTCACAAGGAGGAGCCCTGCCTGCCAGTCGCCCTTGCTGGCCCCTCCCGCCTCATCCCTCTGAGTCCAGCAGCCAGGGCTTTGCGAAGTCTCCAGTCTGGGTCCCGGGAGGCCTGGCTCAGCCTGCACACAGTGGGTGGATTGTCCCAAGGGCAGCCAACTCATGCTTACGGTTCTTGGCATCCATCACCGAGGGGCCTCTGAGGCTGGCGTTGAAGTTCCTGCAAGACTGTGAACAGCCACACATCCAAGTGACCCATGGCCCTCTACGTCTGGAAGTGTGCCCCGTGTCCCTATGCTGGAGTCCCCTGATGTGCCAGCCAGGGCCTTCACCTGGACCCCTATCCTGTTCCCTCCACTACGTGTGACCAGACACTGTCCCACCCCCAAAGGTCCGAGGTAAAGCCATGCTTCTTACCTGGTTGGGCTGGCAGGCCCCGTCCAGGAAGCCCACGGCGTGGGTGTGGTGGGAGGGGCCCTCTCGACAGCGCGTGCACAGGAGCTGAGCATCATGTCCACAGAAGAAGCATACCTTCTCCCCGTGTTCCTCACAATGCATCTCCTCCAGAGTGCCCAGCGGCACGGGGACTGTGACAGGGTCTGTGTGCCCCTCCTCCTTGCACCATGGACACAGCAGGACCTTGCAGGAGGGCTGGGCCCCCATCCCAGAGGGCAGATGAGGCACGGCCAGCAGGAGGTGTGTCCACAGGTCCTTTGTGGGGCCTCTTGCAGGCCGGACAGGTGGCCTCCTCGTGGGAAGGGGCTGAGGGCATCACGGTGCCTTCCCCAGCCTGTCCACTGAGGCCTCTGCCTCAGGCCACACGAATGTCCTTCCCCAAGATGAGTCACGTTTGCGTGAGTCACTGAGGGAAGACCACGGGAGGCTGAGACGGGGAAGCCACGTGTGCTTCCCCGGAACCACCCATCAGCTGAGTGGGTTCAAACTCCAGCATGGCTCGAATCACCCAGCATTTCCCAGCCTGGTCAGCCTGCTCTCTGTTCCTGGGCTGGGGAGCTGAGCACGGTTTCCTGGAACCACTCCCTGGACCACGGAGGGTGGAGAGACCTGGGAAGAGACTCCACTTCCTGTCCAGCAGAGCAGGTGGGAGCCATAAACCTCTGGCTCTGAGGTGTGTCTGGGGCGGCAAAGTCCATCCTGGGGCACGAGGTGCTCTCGGGGGCCCCTCCTCTGCCCAGGCTGGCCTCCTTGGCTTGTGCGCCCTGCCAGCCCCAGAGCCAGTGTCCCCAACAGGATGATGCTGGGTCACGTTGTGCTTCAATTTTACTCTCTAACTTCAGGCGAGAGAAGGCGAGAAACTGCAATATGAATGATTTGTATTGATAAAATTTGCAAAACCCAGCCCCAAAGGTAACAGACATTTGTGTTGGCTTAGTATTCTCATATTATTGTGTCCAATCTAATACCAACCCTTTGGGACAGGGATGATTACTCTCTTTTTACCGAAGAAAACATGTGAAGTCACGAAGCTGGGAAGCTGTGGGGCTGGGATCAGTCCTGGCCTCCAGTTCGGGCCTCCTTTCCTGGCCTCCTCTCCCGGCCTCCTCTCCCAGCCTCCAGTCCCGGCCTCCTCTCCCGGCCTCCAGTGCCAGCCTCCTCTCCCGGCCTTCTCTCCCAGCCTCTAG